TGAAAAAGAAAGAATAGAGATCTTATAGACATTTTAACTTGAATTAAGTTTTAAAAAGTGCTAATTTAAAAATCAAATCGACGCGTGTAGATAAACAAAGATTTTATACAATTAGAAAGACTGGTAATTTTAAATTTTAACAAGCAGTGTAACAGCTACGTGAGTGATACACACCTGATGATGGCCGTTTAGGGCCGAAACATGTAGTGTGGAGGAAAAGAAGTAAAAACTATAATAAAATTTGTTGCACTTAAGACGGTATTTATCCATATATAAAACTTTCCTCATACAAAAAAATATCCCACCTAAGAAGAGCAATTCTAAAGACACATACTGAACATTATACCCATTTAAGAAGTTTTTGTTGGATTACATTACACATGTACAAAAGAGAATGACTAACAAAACTGATGCTGAAATAAATATATTGCAGTGCTTAACAGCACTTAGTAGAGGTAAAGTTATCCCTGTCTAGCTGATAGTGTGTTCTTTGTGTGCAAGATTTTATACTGTGAACATGTGTGATGAATTTTGTGAGGTTGTGTGAAAGGAAACTGACTTGTGTATTATATGCAGATGCATATATGGCTACAAAATCAAATATAAAACTTACAGTGTCATAAAGCGGCCTCCGTAGTCTAGAGGCAACGTTCCCACCTCATTACTCGTAGTACGCGGGTTGAAATACCCAGCGGAGGTCGTCGAATTTTTAAGGGTGGAAAAATTCAGGGAACAAGTCTCCGGGAGGGACTTTAAGCCATGGGTCCTGTGTCATAGATTTACGGCACGTAAAAGAACATCATGTCTCTAGGAGACCTCTGAGCAAAATTAGGCAACATTTCCCGCCCAAGTAGTTTCCAATTCCTCCGGTAGATGGGGGAAGTATTAGGTACCACTGCCAGAGGAGGGGAGACCTCTCTGACAGAAAGGGACTATTAGATACCACTGCCAGAGGAGGTTGGAACCTTGCTGGCAGAAAGGGGCTGATAGTAAGCACCAGTACCGGTAGGGTATGGAGACAGTAGAAATTAAAGGGGGACACACAATGGATCACTAACCGGTCTAAGTGCATGGGGAAACCCACCCCCTCAATACGGAATACAGTGTCATAAATTTTGAGAAATTGGAGGTCATTAAGAAGGTGGATGCTCAACCACATGTGATGTACACAAAGGTTGAGGAACAACTGAGCATACCAATGTCAATGCTAAACAATATTTTGGTGAACAAGTACTTCAGCAATGTGTACCTACTCAGCGAAACAGAAAAAAAGTTATAAACTTGTAGATATGAGAGGACTGAATCAGTGCTCCTAAAATGGTTTAAGCAGAAATGGACATTACTGTATATATACCAATTCAAGGTCAGATGTTCAAAGTCAAGGCTGATGAAATATGAATTCACTTGATATATACTGTATTGTACATATAACGTTTTTTTATTATTGGTTAAACACTTTAATCTGCGATTCATATGTATTTTATAACATGTTTTGGCTGTAGGAGGCCATCATCAGGCATGATGATCCTCAGACTGCTCCATTGCACTGTATAAATTCATTGTGCACAAAACATATAAAATATGAAAGTTCTAAAAGTTTTCTAAAGTTTTCTAGTTCCTAGTTCTTAAAAACAAACTGGGTACCAGGTACTATAGTAGAATGTATGATTAATATATTATGCAATTTTTCTGTGTTCTCCTTTACTGCATTCCAGTTCTTGTTGATGTTGCATACTGTCATTGCAGAGATGTGTATATTCTGGATGCTTTTAGGTTTTGGGTGTTGTGCTGGCTAGTGTGTGTGGACTTTCACATATGCATTTGTATCATACATACCTTGACGCCCATGACCATCCTTCAGTTTAGAGTCTGCACCCTGCAGTAACAGCATCCTTACTGCCTCAAGTTGCCCGGTACTGGCTGCACAGTGGAGTGGCGTGAATTTTGATTTCGAAGCCACTAAATTTACATCAATATTAAAGTCTTCAATCAGCATCCGAATCACCTTGCAACTTCCAGTCTGAGCTGCCACATGTAGACAAGTTAATCCCATGTTATCAGATTCAGTGACAGAAGCACCACACTTCAATAGCACCAGTGCAACACTGTCATGGTTTCCCTGACAAGAATCCATCAATGGTGTGACGCCACACAAGTCACGAGCAGACACAGCAGAACTGTTGTACTTGAGGAGAAGAGAGACAATACTACCATGACCATTAAGTGCTGAAACAAAATACATTTCAATAAAAGTGACCATGTGTAACTATTATATTTTGTACATTTTCAGCAGATAAAGTACACAACAAAATTACAAATCTTAAATATTAGGCGCACAAAATTAAAATTGTGTCGGATTTGAGGTTCTCACAGCAGTGACTATGATGAGTACAGTTTCCTGGGATGTAATGCCAGGTAGTCTGGTACAAGACTGACAACATTTTGGAGGAATGTACTGCCTCCATCTTTAAGACTGAAGAGTAAGCCAAAGCAATCAACCAGCAAGAAGAAGAGCTGTGCTTACTGCTTGCTGGTTTCTTGTTTGGCTTACGGTTTACCTTAAAAATTGAGGGAGTATGTACATTTGAAATGTCAGTGAACTTCTACCAGACTACACAGCATTACATCCCAGAAGAAAGTGCTTTCCAAAATGACATTTTCTTCCTCCAAATTTGTTGGAATGTATAAAGTAATTTATTACCACAATATAATGGTGCATAAGTTACTAAAATAATGCAGTTACTGTGCTGTTCCATAATCTACATAAAACTAAATGTAACAAAAGTGACATTCTCACCATACAAAATTTTGGGGTCCTACAATCCAGTCTCAGAAATTAACACATCTATAATACAGTACAGTGGCAGCACCATAGCTCAAGTGGTTAGTCGCTGGCTTCCTACCGCGGTGGCCCAGGTTCGATCCCAGGTCTGGTCAAGTGGGGTTTGTGGTGGACAAAGTGGCGCTGGGGCAGGTTTTCTCTGAGTACTCCATCATCATAATCACCCGGGGCAGGCTACAATAGGCCCATTAGTGGCCACCATGCCGAGTGGACCCAGTTGGACTCCACCCCCCACTAAGCGAATTTAAAAAGAAAAATCATACAGTACTGCTGATGGTATGAAAATAAAAAATATTATGACATGATTGAATTGCTTAACAAGAGACATCATCTGTTGTTAGGCAATGGCACAGTAAACATGCTGTTACACCAACAAACAAGTGAGCCATCGCTATGCAATGAATAAACATGCTACAACATAAGAACTGTTGGAGATGGTGTTTTCTGTGTGGTCTGATCTGAGGCTATATAACGAGGATATTAAGAGCAGAGGCCAACTCAGTAATAAATATCTGGTCATGAGCCCCATATGATGCTCAGAACCAAGACTTACTGACTGACTGATCGTCAGTCGCAATGTGACTTTGACTTTTGTTGCAGTGTCCCCCTGTGTGGAGGCAGGGTTGAATACCTCCACCGTGACCCTGTGGGTTGTAGGAGGTGACAAAACGGGAAATCTCAACTCTGAGACAGTAAAATGTGGTCGTGAGTCCCAAGGGACTTGGACCTGAGAAAGACTGTGCTGGCAATGACCAGCAGCATATACAAAAGACAGACCTGTCCTCTTGTCAGAGAGGGCGCCCCACAAAAACAAGACTGTGACTGTTAAACAGTAATAAATATCTGGTCATGAGCCCCAAATGGTGCTCGACACCAAGATTTGCTGACTGACTGACCGTCAGTCTTTGACTTTGACATTGACAGAGGCCAACTTAATTAGTCTCCAGAGATAACTAGGAAGTACTGTGAGCAGGGAGTTCTTCCAGAACAATGCAACTGGAACATGGATCACAACTAAAAGTATGGTGAACAACACCATATTAAAGTTCCTCACTGAGAAAAGTCTCCACTTCTTTACATTTTACCCAAAGGCAGAATCTGAATTTTCATCAAGTCTTGTTAAGCTAACTGCTTCATTTCTCACTGACAGAAAAAAAAATAGCATCATGGTAGAAGGCAATGTAGCCATACCACTAACACCACCAACTTTATTTGTAATTAAGATTCTTTTTAATTATAGTAATTACGCTTGGGATGTAGTAAGGAATATTCAAGGGTGACTTAGCTCATTTCTTGATTTCAGGAATATGGCCTGCTTCACTGCTACAAAAAAGAAAGGCAGGAAGCACCCCGCAGTGTTTTCCAGGAAATTCAGTTTGAAAGTTGACTGGTGAGATCCTTTGGTAAAGTTATACTTGACAGGTTTTGGACACCATACATCAAAAGTGGGAAGGCCCAGAGCGCACGCTACTAGTAGAATTTATCAATCGACTGTCAAAAGGTGTGTTAGGTCATCAAGGGTGAGAGTCCCTTGAAACAAGATGATGATTGGAGGAGTGAGAATTAGAGTAAACTCCCAAAATTCACACTGTTCCAGTCAACAAAATTAGGGTAGTGACTTGGAGGTGGAACTGAAGCTGTGAAGACTTCTTGCCTCAAAGCAGAATCAGTCTGCTAAGGCAGTCGCTGAATAACTCGCCAGGATCCAGCAGCAAAAATTAGTGTAATTCTAAGTTTTTTAAGTGTTTAAGTTGAAAGTAAAATCATTTTGAAGTGTGCTACTAGAACAGTCACCAATCACACTAAAGTAAGGTTCTTAAAGTCTGAATCTCGCTGGAGCATCGCCAGTAGGACTGTTAAGTGATACTGCTACTCTTGTAATTAGTATAATAATCAGTGTTATGGACTGAGATATTAAAAGTGCTCCTCAGCCAGCGTTGTGTAGTGCATACCGTTAGTCACTTTTGTCTCCCCGTTAGAGTGAGGCATTGATACCCCTCAGACTGAATCTCATTACCCTGATGCTAAACTATTACAGATCACCTGTAGTTCAGGTTCTTTCCCCCCTTTCTTCCTGAATAGTGGGCCATTACAATAAGCTTACTGGCAACGATCCCTCACTGTAACCCGTATCCCGTAAACTACCAATATTCACAATAACAACAAGGAGGAGAAGAAGAGGTGGATAAGAAGGATGCAGCAGGAACCTGCAAACTTGACATACCAACAGGTGAGAGGGAATGGTTAGAAAGAAGTCGCTCCCAAAGGTGGGAAGAGAAGAGCAGTTAGAGAGAGAGAGAGCTGGCACCAAAAGTAAGGAGTGTAGCAGTTATAGAAAAGAGGTGGCGACCAGCAACATTGGGCCAAGAGTGGTAAACGATGATTAGAGCAAATTTTGTACACCAAGAAAAATAGTGGCAGGGGTGGCTCAAGGTTTCATCGTTCCCATAATACAGTACAGTTTATATATAAATGATGCCCCTGTGACACCTGGAACTCAACTGCAGTTTCAGAGTAGTTACATAAGTCAAGGCATAATCTGCTGCACAAGCCCCTACATTGACAAAAAAAAACTGTATTATCTTGCATAAATATTATTTAGTATAGTGCAGTTACAAAGGGTGCACAAAATTCATAGTGACCTACACACCATGCTGAAACTACTGTGCAACAAATGTAGCACCTATAAGGAGAGAGGAGGCCCCATTTTGAAACAAGTACAAGTCTACAAGAGAACAAAAATTTTGGTCATGCATCTCAAGAAGACTGAAGCCAGGAATGACTGTGCTGGCAAAGGACAGCAGCAATTTAACTGGCCAACTGAAGCTGTCAGATGTGAGACAGTCACCAGCTGGTAAGGATGTGAACTTGGAAGCTGACAGTCTATGTTGCTGGCAGCTGTAACATAGCAACAGCTACTGAAGAAAAACTTGGGGGACTTAGTGTGTGCTGTAGTGAAAAGTTGGATGCATGAAGTAGCAAGAGCAGTATAGTTACTTGAAGTTATGATTTATATGAGTTCAGTAAATCCAATTACTAAATTCAAACCCTCTGTCTAGTCACTAACACATTACAGTATCAATGTGGAGTAGCATCCAGTGACAATTTATTAGTACAAGTGTGTGTGTGTGTGTGTGCGTGTGCACGCGTACACATGCACACATACAATGGCCTGTGGGAACATCCCACATACTATCACGCTGTTTCGCCGATCAACAGACAATGCTCACTCCTAAGTCAATAGCACATTGCTGTCAGCTCTCATATTTATACAGCACCCGCTGTCCATCTCACTTTTCACCATCACGCGCACTAACCAATCACATTGCTGCCACCACTTATATTTATATAAGCACTCGCTGTCCAGCTCACTCATAACCATCATGTGCGCTAGCCAGTAAGTGCTCACAATAGCAACTACAAGTCTAAGCTCCGCCACCAAGTTTGGTATAAAAGGCGCAGCTCCAACCCAGCAATCATCAGTGACCACATCAGCCAGTCAGCCATCACACTTAGTCCAGAGTGATCGGTCATCATCTCTTCACTGCGTCAGGGACGGCTGCCTCGGCTCTCCGGTGGTCATGCCCAACACACCGGGCAACTGGCGCAGCTGCTGTCACTACCACGCTCCGTGACCAGATGTCTTCCAGCAACTACGCTCTGCGACGAGGTAACCTCCGGCAACTGCCGCACTGCGACCAGACAACTAACTCAGCTGCCGCAACATTAGCCAACACACTGCAGCCAACATCTATTTCTACCGGCGCACGCAGCCCTACATCACCGGCCAGACAGACCAGCCGAACGGCCGTGAAACTCTATCTACCGCGGTGGAACAAACGGCCCTTTTCAGGGCCCAGAAACGTTCCGAAGTGGTTGTATATTGGAGTACCCACAATCCCACAGGCCTATAATGTAAGTAACACTTATAAAATTAAAGGAAATGAAGTAAAAGGAAATGTGCAGTACTTACATGCAGTGTGGAGGGGATATCGACCATTGGTGGAATGTATGTTGACCAATGCTGGAAAATTTTCTATCAAGAGTTTCACAATATCACAGTGGCCAATTTTGCAAGCAATGTGGAGAGCAGTCCAACCATCCTTATTCACAATATATGGATCTGCTTCATGATTAAGTAACACATGTACAGTCTGGAGTGCCATGGACCCTAATTTGGTGCTAGCAAGCATCAAAGGTGTCCAATCGCTTCTCTTTATCTGATTTACATCTGCTCCTAGCAAAAGAAAATGTGAAATACAATTATCAGTAAGTCTTGTGCAAGATTCAGAACATACATGTACATTATGTGTTAAATTCCCATGATCTGAAGCATAACTGGAAAGAGCTACTCAAAGAGCTTTTAAACTTGTTCTCAGATAGTCAACAGTTTCCCAAACAATTGTGCAGTCTAAACATTCAATTGATGTTAACTAGAAATCACAGCTAGTCATGTGTGAACAATGACTACATTCCTGTGTAGTCGGGTCATAGGGATATGGATTAATAGTGCAATCTCAGCTGAACTGACAAACCTAGCGTGTGTCTATATAGTTTATGCTTACCCAGATTACAGCAGATGCTGGATATGCTGTCTGTTCTACATTCATTCTGGCACCTCCATATGAAGTTTACATTCCCCTATGAAGTTCTTTTCAGAACAGATTCAACTTGAAACATTACACCCTAGCCTCCTGTGAAAGGCATATGAAGGATTTTTCAAGAATGTCTGAGCCTAATACAAACATCTCTTCGGTTAGCACTCAGCTGGGAACAGAAGTGGCTGCCAAAAAATCTCAACATAATGCATTCTGCCCTAAGATAATTATATCACTATATTTATTTTATTAGTCACCTAAACATCATATATACAATTTCATAAGACATTTTCTTCATTATTGAGGTGATCTTCAAGCTTGCTGCTTGCCACCTGTTTACATGCTGATATATTTCGTGGCATATTTTTGACCCTGAAGATGGAGGCGATATGTTCCTCCGAAACATCAGTTGACTTTCGACAGGCTACAGAGAGTTATATCCCAAACAAGAGTACTCTTCTGTCCTAAAGTAGCTGCCCTTTTTGGGTTCTATCCTGATCTCTCAAATCCCTTTCTTTCACCCCACCTCTATATACTGTCACTTTCTCAACTCTGTTCACTTCACTTTTGAAGATGGAGAAAGCATCTCCTCTAATTTGTTTCTCCTGCTCTCAAAACTTTCAGAGGAAGCCTCCTACAGCTAGTTCAGTCTAAGATGTATACCATGACACTGTTCAAGATCACCTCAACAATGAAAAACTCTTACAAAATTGAAGTATGTATGCTGATGTTTATATGACTATTAAAATCAACAAATAAACTCCATGGCTTGAGTCCACAAGCAAACTATACCGACCGAGTGACTGAGTGACTGCCGTGTGTTGGCGAAATTAGTGCCAAAATGCATGATTTAGTTACTTAATGCAGCATTAGATATGTAAATGTAGTGTTCTGATTTTATTTCTATAAAGGTATCATAGATTTTGTTTGAAAATTTAATTGCACTCCTTTATGATTCCCTACTTTATGACTTACCACACTCTATATACTCATCCTCAAATTATCTTGTCTGAACATTTAATTGCAGTTTCTTACGATTCGATACTTTACGAGATACCACACTTTGCACACTGATCCATCAGCAGTGAATTGGAAAAGATGGGGGATGTAATGATCATGGCCTGTTCTAAGGCATCATCCCAGCATGTGCCTCAAATGAATGGGAAAAATCTCAATCATGTGAGACATTATTTGAATCACATGCACCTAAGATAGATGTGGCACATGTTATCACTTAACCAACCATTTTTTTTTCTTTTTGTAAAATATACGTGGTGTGTTCAAAAAGTATCGAGCCTCCTTTTTTCCCGCGTAAACCAATGAAGCGCGGGAGGCTCCCTTCGGTGGAGATGTGGAGGGGAAATTCATGCGCAGTCGTGAATTTTTTCCTGCCCGCAGAAAGCATGTCGCTGGCAGTTGGCCTATGAGTGAGGATGTGTAGTGAGCGCTTGTCGGATTCCAGTAAGGTGTAAAATGACGGAACAACATGAGCAGCGATAATGCATAAAATTTTGCCAAAAGCTCGGCGATACCCAAGTGGAAACCATTCGCAAGATTCAATAGGCTTTCGGGGACGATGCCATGAGCAACTCACAGATAAAGGAGTGGTACAACCGCTTCAAAGATGGCCGCACATCAGTGGACAGCGACCCGCGTTCAGGCAGACTCTCATGAAGCCGAAATGAGAATGTCATTGAGCAAGTACGGACTTTGGTCATGGAGGACCGTCGTATCACAGTCCGAGAACTTGCAAACGAGATAGGGGTAAACATTGGATCGGTACGTTCAATTTTGACCGCATCTGATTCAGACTTTCGTCGCCGAATACAACATCCCTGTGGTTCATCAGGTTCCCTACACCCCCAACATGGCTCCGTGTGACTTTTGGCTATTTCCCAAGCTGAAAATGCCACTGAAAGGAACCCGATTTGAGTCAAAAGGAGACATCATGTGGAATGCGACGGCCCGGCTGATCACCATTCCAAAAGACACGTTCCAGAAGTGTTTCCAACAATGGTGGAAGCACTGGGAGAAGTGTGTGCATTACCAAGGAGACTACTTTGAAGGGGATTAGGGTTTTGTACCTCCAAATCAATAAATGTATTTCTGCCGACCAAAGGTTCAGTACTTTTTGAACACACTACATATGAATAACATTCAGTATTAAAGTAAATGCCACTGATGGCATACAAATTAAGACTTAAGATGTATGTCCTATGGCAAACATGTTCTAAAAGTGAGACATACCATGCTGAAGCAGATAATTTACTGTTCTATGACAACAGTTCTGTGCCGCTTCGTGAAGAGCTGTCTTCCCCAAGTTATTGTATACATTTATCAAATGTTCTCCATCCCATTTCTCTATCAAGTACCTGAAAGACATTGCATGCGACACCACATTAAAAATACTGTTCTTTCACATAACTGAAGTAATCCATGGACTGAATCCTAAAATACAATTTGTCAAATTTAATACTTATTTGCACAGTAGCTTTTGATGCTCAGTGGCTTTGCTACGACAGAATGACCTCCTGAATGAGGTTATTGGCTGTACGTAGACAACTGGTACAGTTCATCTAACATTTCCACAGTGTGCACTGTGCAGCAACAAATGTTTAAGGAAGAGTTCCACTGAATTACAACCACATACCAGAGAGCTTGGACATATCTCACAGTCTCCCTGATAGCTACTTTCATGCAGAACATTACAATTACGGAAAGTCATCATGAGTTTCCAACTGTAATTCAGTTAAATCTTACAATTTTGCGCCTGAATTCATAAGTTTTATATTATGATGAATGGTACTACTTGAAGAAAGCAGTCTTCTGGGATTTGTCACCATGTATATGTGGTGTTAACCGACGTTTTGGAGGAACGTATCGCCTCCATCTTAAGGGTAGAAGAAAAAATATTAGAAATCTGCAAGCAAAGAGACCGTGAGAACCGGTAANTCACACCAATATCTTGGCTTTCAAATTAATCAAAGCATGTTATATTGCAAGAGCAATCAGACCTTTCTTATCTTTAAATTCCTTAAAGATAATCTATCATGCTTATTTTCAGTCACTTATAACATACGGATTAATTTTCTGGGGACCTTCTTCCCACAGTACGAATATTTTCAAACTCCAAAAGCGAATGGTTAGAATACTAATGGAAGCAAGACCCAGGGATTCTTGCAGAACATTTTTTAAAATTTTAAATATACTACCTCTAGCATCTCAGTACATACTCTCCTTGGCTCTGTTTATGGTTACCAATAAATCACTGTTTAGACAAAATTCTGAAATTCATAATTTTAATACCAGGAATAATTCTATTTTTTTTTTTTCCAAGGACTCACTTGACGGATGTTCCATAAAAGTCCCACATACGCTGGTGTTAAGATATATAACCATCTTCCAGCTGACATTAAGGACTTTGCATGTGATATTAAAAGCTTTAAAAAGGCAGTATTTGTATTTGCATGAGCATTCTTTTTATACCGTGGATGAATTTTTATGAATAGAACTTGATAAGTATTTTTATTGTAATAGTAACATCATTGTGTCAGTATTTACAATGTTCTATTTTATAAATTTTTATGCATAAGACATATTTCTGATGGTAATAGCAACATCATTGTATCAGTATTTACAGTGTTTTATTATTTTTATATTTTTGACAAAATCTTTTAAGGGTTGCATGTCTTATCTATTTATCATTATTTATTAATATCGTACTGTCTTGTATTTTTGACTTTTCTATATCCAATGGTTGTACCATTATGGACCAACAGAATAAATTAAAATTGAAAAAAAAATCATAATGGTGCAATATTTTAGTTTGTAAACGTGGGGGAAGAAACCGTTTGTGAGATCTAGGCACAGTGGACCCTATTACAATGCATTTTTAAAGTAGAATATGTGTCCCCTGTTTTGTAGTTCCGGTTAGTCAGTGGTTAACCCTAGAACGGAATTCTCTACACAGCGGGAAATTCCCAGACTGACAAGCGACCCTCAACGACTCTGTTTGGTGAGTTGCGCTGGTCGTTATATCGATTAGTGGGGTAAATTATGAATAAACCGTGAGAAACAAAGGAAAGCAAACTTGATATTTCATACGGCGTGTGACAAAAATTAATTCTCAGCGGAAACAACAGGTATATTTTACTTACGAAAACACATGTTATGCATATCTTTAAGGATCTGTCATTATTTGCGGAATAAGTCTACCAGCATAACTATTTAACCATTGCACTACGTAACCCATATATCACCTCACGATCTCTAGATTACCACGACGAGCAGCGACGTGAAGAGGACTATCTCCGCACTTCAATCTGCAGTGTATCCAGTGTTTATTATTAACCATGCCCTGGTTAACCACGCTCTGGAGCAGTACCACATCCCCATTTAGGCTGCATGCAAATATTTCATCGACAAAAGACTTGTGGGATGTCATTATATAAAGAGGAAACCACTTGTTGAACTGTTCTATAATATTTATTACAGTTGCACAGTATACACAGACGAACTTGAGTTTGAATAATAATTACAATAGTTGAACTCCTTAAACACTGAACTAAAATTATAGAACTGTAGAAATCTATTACTGTAAACTTCCAAGTCAAAGTCACATTGCGACTGACGGTCGATCAGTCAATAAGTCTTGGTGTCGAGCTCCATCTGGCGCTCAATGTGTCTTATATAACCTAGAGTCGGACATATGAAAAACATGTCATTGTCCGTATTGTTGTAGGTTTTGCCTAGCAACCGCTGTTTACTAGCCGTTGACAAGCAACTATACTTGCGTTGTCACATTTGCTTTAATGTACGCAGTTCCCACAGACTTATCAGTTCTGTTATCTGTAGGGTCCATTCCAGTTATTTTACAGACACTACAAACCACGAGCCAAATAACGCATTCACCACATTATTGAATTTCCATTCCTTTCGTGGTCCAACTAGTACCTCCATAACCCTCCATACATTACGTATCGAAATATACGAGCCTAATCATCGACTTCACTTTATACAAAATTTCTGCAATATTGCGTTTCTTTTCGGAAATGTAATCATAGAGATCAATTAACTGGAACGTGTTTCAGACGTAGGGTTCAAAGTATCAGCTGTTTTAATCATTACTCGGAAGATCTCTGCTGTGCTTTTTAGGGGCATAGTAAACAACCTTAATGTTAAAAGGTTGTAAAAATTCGCATTTTATTTACGTGGTAAATGTTACAAGATTATAATGTTGTAAGAGCTAGGTTTTTGTTAGGGTGGAGAATTGAGTTCTCCTTGGGACGTACTGGAACAAATCAGCTGTTATGTGTTGGTAGTCCATTGGTGATGAGAATATGTGCGTATATTTTCGAAGAAAAGAAGCTAGTGTCAGTTTTTACGTAATATAGGCTCAAAATCGAATTCACATCATTAAGATGTAGTTTGTTTGAATTCCAATATTTATTAACAATTAACAACTGTCAAATGGGTAACAACGGATCAAAATTTGTGAAAAAAATTGTATCTCCATTTAGTAATACAATCGATAGCACGGGTACAGATCATCCTCGGAGCATTGTGAAATCAAACAGCCCGGTCTTGGTAATTTCAAGAAAGGGGTAAGTCTCGTTGGAGATATTATTTCATGAATATATATAGGTATTACTGTATTAACACATCACCGTATCTAATGTGATTTGTATTTCGTGAAAAATATTCATTTTCTAAATAAGTGGGATTCTCCTGTGAAGTTTAAGTTGTAAACAAACAGGGAGCAACTTTACAACTCGAACACGAAGGCCATGTATACTTGTCAGTGAATGTGAGATTTATTTTAGGTTACACAATATCAGTTATTTGTGAAGATCATTCATCTCGCCCTCTGGGTTGAAAGAAAAATAACCTTTTGTCCCTGGCAGGATTCTGCTGACTTTCTGAGATAAGAAATCTCCCCACCATTTCAGCTGTTGCAGGAGACAGCATATGGCCTGATTTACATTTTCGCTTGACAAAACTTCATTTTAACCACTAATTTCAAGGAGGCCTGAATCGTGTAATTTGCAGCTTTGTACTCTTGTTGAATTTTCCTAAATAACAAGATCTTTAGAAAATCCACCAGAATTTGAAACTTTTCACTCTTTTTACATAATATGAGAAATTCTTCCTTCAACTGCACTAGCATTTCGACTTCACCTGACTTCAAGACGTCTGCCTCTCCAGAGGAGTCAGTCATCTAAAGGGAATAAAACAGGGGTCAGCCATCTAAAGGGAGTAACAGGAGTCGGTTGTCTAAAGGGAGTAACAGGAGTAACCTCCCGGACGTCAAATCAGTGTTGGCCCAGTCTGGGACACAAATTCAAAGGCTACAGCCTTGTAATATGTAATTCAAGTTCACATCTACGATAAAGAGCAACAGTGTTGGTAAAGTGTGTGTTTTAAGTGTTCTCTATCTCCTGGTGTGAGCAAGGCCCAGAAGTCACCCTGAAACAGAATCTTGTCTTACCGTCTGAGCAGCCGAAACCCCAAACGCCCGCCCATCCATCTTGTGTCTGTCATATTCTGAGCCTGAAGAGAAAACTGCTCAATTTCCAAAACTATGCAATAGTTTTCCTTCATTACCACAAACTTTCTCTTCTTCCTGAACAGTAGTAACCATTTTATCATTCAGTCCAATGCAAGTTCCAGGTTTACTTTGAACTTGCACTGTATCCAACATATGAAGGATTACAATATTGTTTTAAAACATCAAGTACTTTGACACTTGTAGCATTTGCAGCCACTATAAACTTGGCAAAAATAAAGATTAATTTTCTGCTTTAAACCGCTATAGAATTTCCCATCATCAGGCAACTGTTCACTTTTTGAAATTGTTGCACTGCACTAGATCTTAAATAAATATATTTAAATGCTATTGCATTACTGTTGTTCACACTAAATACATCTGTTTGAGGACAAAACTCTTTCTCTGGTCCCATGCTGTTTTCCACTTGTGGCATCCATGTTTGTGCTACCTTCATGTGTGTGTTCCCACAAGTGGAGTGTATGTCACTAGATACAATAGGTAGTGCATCAGACATGTGCTTACATGAATAGACTCTACCACAGATTTCTGCTGACATGCTGTCACACTATACTCTTGTCTTTTCTCTGGCAATTAATGAGTGGGTCTTTCCATGTCAAGCACAATTTAGCTGCCAAATTTTCCACGACAGACTGTTTTATTGTCATTCACTTCAAGCTTTTGGAGACTAAGAGTATTCACATTCTATTTGCTGATGATGCCAGTTTTAATCTCTCAAGACAATCCAATAAAACTTAAAAATACAATAAATGAAATATATAGGATGCTGGATGACTGGTTTATAAGAAATTTAATGTCAATATAATGAAAACACGTTACATAAACTTCACTGTAAAAAATAATGTGGTTAGAGAAATGGGAGGCATAGGAATGGTTTTATTTAATTCAAATCACATAAAATTTCTTGGCCTGACTATCCAAAATGATATAACTTGGGATAGACATATAGATGAGATAATAAAGAAATTAAATACAGCTTGTTATATGATAATAAATGGTGTCTGTAAAAACATTAAAAAGTGTTTATTATTCATACTTCCATTCTGTTAGGACATATGGAGTAATGTTTTGGGGTAACTCAACACATGCAGAAAGAGTTTTTAAGATACAAAAGAGAGTTATAAGAATAATGAAAGATGTGGCTACAGAGAGTCATGCAGAGAACTGTTTAGGAATATAAATATATTTCCTTTAAGATCACAGTATATATACTCTCTCCTGATGTTTGTAGTAAAAAAGAGAGAAATATTTGATACAAATAGAGATCACTATGAAATAAATACTAGACATACTATGGATATACATATGAGCCAGGTAAATTTGGAGAAATATGGTAATTGGGTAATTCACATGGCCATAAGGATTTATAGTGCACTACCTAATAAAATTAAAGTAACTTATAATGATATAAATAAGTTTAAAAACAATTTAAAGGAATATCTTTATTTGAATTCTTTTTATACACTGGATGAATGATTATACAACTATATACATATATAAGATGTTGAGTAGTACAGTAAATGGATAATCATCGTGAATGTACCATAACCATACTTATAATTGAATGTTTCTATATGTTGTATTTGTTAAAGATATATGGTCAAAATATTCTGTTACTTTTGACAAAACTTTTATCTTAAATGATAATTTTGAGTGTATTGTGCTACAGAGTAATTGTGTTATGATGTAAACAAACATTGTCATATAATATAAGTCTTTTTGACAATTGCTTGATAGTATTAGCAAGATAAATTGACACAATTCTGTATCTAAGGCTTTAGCCTACTATAGATGTAATGGAATAAGGAAGAAATAATAATAATAACAACAACAACAACAACAACAACTAAGGTGATGAGTTTTATACCAGCTGGATCTAGCGCATGTGACAATTTCAACCTGACAAGATAAACACTTCTTGATGCCTTAACCATGATTTTGAGGTCATATAAAATTTAAATTATCACAATGTTAACCTTCCTTTGGAGGTAGCAAAATGTGCCTCACACCACACTGCTCCTAATTCAGATACAAACTTACCTCACTAGACATGGAGTGTGCAGCAAGGTTGTTATGACCATAATATAATTTCACAAGAAACAAATAAATTTATTTTCACTATTTTCTGGATGTGACACCATGTAATCTGGCAAATATTTACTGATATTGCACTCTCCTACCTTGAGAATGGAAGCAGCATATTTCTCCAAAACATCAGTAAACATTTAATAGACCACATGACATCATACCCCAGAAGACTGCAATTAAGTCACTGGTGTGAGAACCTAAAATGTCACAAAATTATTTTTGTCATTATTTGTTCTTGAACTAATTCAGAATAAAACTTATTTTATTTTGGATTAATT